AGAAAAATGGATACTCGTATCTGTCTCTTCGGATCGTCGATTTTGACGATGTTCACCACGTGTCCACCGTGTTCAGGGACGGTAACTTAGCATGGATTACTTTAGTGTGATAGTGGACTGTAGCCGCCGCCCTACCGCTGGCCACCACGCCCCTCCCCCATTTTCGGGATCTATAATGGGAGCGCAATCCGAATATCGCCTGATATAACCCCCGGGTTGATCCAGCGAATCTATCACGCCGCCCGTTAAGAGTGCGGTCCAGCGCAAGGCTTTTGCTGATACCAGTTATTTAAACTAGAAGCTAGGACGTCTATCGTGCCGGGCCTAAGTTGCAAGACTACTCTACGAGTTTCCCTATAAAATACTAGTTTATTACTTGTAAAACGTCATCTCTTGGTGGTCCGCATGTTTTCTGTTTCCCCACAATCTACTTTCGTTGCCTCATTGGAAACCTTAGCTACCCCTTCACCCAGCCGTTCGAGTTTACAGCCGCTCCGTGTGTTTGTGTGCGTGTATTAAGCCGACTAACATAATGTTTTACCCATTCAGCAACGATCGTCTAGGACGAAGAAGGAGGCCAACCTTGAAAACGTCCCAGAATGCAAACAGAGTTGAGCTTAATCGCAAAGAAGCGGATCTCAAATGCGCACTGTCCCTGCATTTTAAGGCTAAGGCGGTGGAATTTCCCCCCGACAGAGCTTCCCTACATTTGTTTTTGGCTTGTTACTAACTGAAAATACAAGATACAATTGATACTGTTTCCTGAGTTTTTAATAGTATTGTTAGAGCTGTCTGGCGCTCTTGAGACATCCGCACTGCGCATCTTCCTCGATTACGTTTACGTTTTTTTTTTAACAAGTAGGCATCTTTACAGACGTAAGTTAGCTACAACTGGCACCCCAGGAAGTAATTGCGAGATGGAGCCAGATGACCGAGCAGTCATCACGCCCAAATCCAGCAGGGGTGATGAAAGTTCAGCCGGTTACGACCCGCACGCCGGTCATTGAGTTATTAGCACACAAACGGGCACCTAACCTCGATAGGGGTCAGTCGTTAATTGTCATACGTATGCAGTAGGATAGTGACTGCAAATACCGTAAATCCGTTTGCATGAATCAACCGTTTCTGTTACTGTCTCTGATGAGAAATCCGCTACGGCATCGGAACCGTCAGGTGAGTAAAGTTGTTGTCCCAGCGCTCGTATATGCTTCTTCCCAACTGATGTCGCAAGTATCGAAACGCGTACGTCTCACTACCTCCGGTGCGTCCC